CCCCCCCCCCCAGTTTGGAAAATCCCCTTTTCCGCATTCCCTTCCCTGTGTGATCCTCCCCCCCCCCCAACACAGACAGGCTCTCTCTCCGATCCAGGAAGTGGCCGGCTTCCCCTGAAGGCTGCAGGCACCCAACTTGCTTTCTTTTGCAAAAGGCCTTTTTGCTTTGGGGGCAAGAAAAATCCCCAAATCTTCCTTCTGCGGGTCATTCTCCGGCTGTCCCTCCCTTCTTTCCCAGTGGGGCCAGTTGGAAACCTTTCCCTCCGCCTCCCTTAAGGGTGGGAAAACAAACAGCCCAAGAAGAGTTCGGGAAAGGAGAGGCCCTTCAACCACGGAAGGAGGAGGGCAGGCGGGGCTCCCGAATCTTCCACAAGGGTCTTTCTGACTTACTGGCAGATGAAGAGTTGGAAGGGACCTTGGAGGTCATCTAGTCCAACCCACACCCACAAGCAGGAGACCCTACACCACACTTCTGACGGATGGATTTCCTCTCCCCCCCCCACTCCCCCTCTTCAAACCAGCCCTTGCGGAAATAAACTCACTCGGCCTGCAATCTGGACTTGAGGGAGTTGTGTAAAAACTTGGCCAAAACACAACAAAAGTCCCGGGAAACTAATCAGTTGTGGTGAAGTTTTGTGGAGGTTGGAAAAAGAGGGAAGGGCCTTTCAGGAGGGAACACCTCTTGCTTGAGATAGTAATTTTCCAAGGTGGGGAGGGGAGAGGGAAACACACACACACACGCACACACACACACACACACACACACACACACACACACACACGATGTGACATCCTCTAAACTTGCAGCCAGAACAAGCCAAGTGCTTTGGCCTCCTTTTCACTGACAACGCACCACCACGTGGTGCCATCTAACCATTGAGGCGTGAAGCCATGAGGAACACTCACTCAACTTCTTTGCAGTGCTTTGGCCTGGATTTTCCCCGGGGTCAAATTCCCCAAACTAGGCCGGCTGGAGAATTCTGGGAGTTGAACTCCACAAGTCTTAAAGTTGCCGAGTTTGGGAGACCTCTGTTGTAGGGTAATAATCTCTTGGTGGGAATCAAGCCAATTCCAGCAGAGGGTCCATAAAATAGGATTGTTGCTTTGCTC